AAAGATACAAAGAAAATGGAATCAAATACAAGTCTATGTACACTACATTACACCATGAATGAGGTCATACTAATTTACACTACAAAACAGCATTTGTCTGCCTGCCTGGGGCCAGGCAGGAAGGGCTTGGGGTAGAATAGAACTTTGGGAAGTAAAGTTTCCCAGACAGGGCTCCATGGCTCTCTTAGTCTGGCTTTCTATTGTTATGGTGAAACAATTTGGTGAAAGTAACTTGGAGAGGAAGGGGGTTATTTTGTTCACATTTCCATTTCCACATTACAACCAATCACTGAAGGAAATGAATACAGAAACTCATACCTGACAGGAACCAGGAGAAGGAACCTGTTGCACAGGTTAAGGAAGAGTGTTGATTATTGATTTACACTCAAGGGCTTTCTCAGCCTTCTTTATTAGAGTGCACAAGACCACTAGCCCAAAGGAGGCTCCCACAATCTGATTGGCTATCACATGTAAATCACTAGTTAAGAAAATGTCTACAGGCTTACCTACTACAGCCTGATCTCATCAAGATACATTCAGAATTAAGGTTCCCTCCTATGATATAACTCTATTTGGTGTCAAAAGGACATAAAACCACTGACCACAATGGTAGTTGAAAAGGTGGGCATATTTGATACAACTTAAATTTCTTATGACTTACTGGAGAGATATATTTTTACATACACATTCCAACTTCAAGACATGATTTTTTTAAATGTCATGATTAAAGCCAAAAATAAATCACAAATCGAAAAAGATTTCAAAACTGAAGGTCACTAGGACATTACAAGTGACTGTACAGCATGATGCTGATCGTGAGAACATGCGGACAGCATCCAGGAAACTGAAAGACAGGAATGTGAATCATGAACTAGAACATACTGATAGATCAGTAATACATGTCTTTAGTTTTATCATTTTAACATGATGCCGACAAGGAAATTACTTCTCCCTTGAAAAATATTTATAGACAATTTATATTATCCTCCTCCTCCTCCTCCTCCTCCTCATCATCATCATCATCATCATCACAACTATTATTATAAGACTTTATGAGACAATGTCTGATTCTATAGCAAATGATGTTCAAATTTACTTTGTAGCCTATGCTGCCCTCAAGTTCTGTACACATATAATTCTGAGCCACTCTACCTAACTGGCCTCAATAAATTGTACTGTACCTATGGTGTTTCAACTTTCCATCCAAAGGATCAGAGTGACACAGAGAGAAAAATAAAAATGCATGTGGACTATGGAAGATTCTATGAGTTTCTTGAACTAGGCTGGCAGCTAGTCATGAAGTCTGAATTTGTATTTTACAGCAAACTAAAGATTTTATAAATTATTTAGTTTATTTATATTACAATTGTTGTACCCCTCAGTTTCTCCCCAAACAGTTCCTAATACCAAAGGCTTTAAAATAAAAAATTCTTCTGCATGTCAAATATTGCAAATAGTAACTAACCATAAAATGAAAATACACAACTGTAAATTAGTTATTAAGTATACTGACAAAGCCATGAGATACAGAAATATCCTAGTTATGATGTCGAATGTGTACTATTTACAGGATTCTCAATGTGGTTCTGTATGTCATTCAGGAAACAAAGTCAGTGAAGCCTCAGGGTTTTGGCACAAAGGGTGTCCATTTTACACATGCAAGCTGCTCTGAGTACAAGGAAAGAAGATGGCTTATGCTGTGTTAAACCAGATTTCAGAAGAAAATTTCTACCCTATACAGCTTATTACGCTGTTCACAGCAGAGGGAGACCCGTGATTAAAACCTTTAGTTGGTAACTAGTCACAAATCATCATATGAAACAAATGCAGAAGATAAAATTTCATTTTTATCTTCCTTCGCAATGCACACTGATGCAAGGAATTTGTATGTTTTCTTTTCACAGATACAGGGATATCCTTTACCACAGTCAGCATCATGTAGACCCCTCATTCTGAAATATGTACACTCTCCTATTTTCCATAGTGATTTCATTACCACCAAATTACTATGAAACAAAATATATAATAGGCATTTATTAAAATTTGAACCTTATATTATAGAAGGCCATGATTTTTGAAACAGTTAATTGTTTAAAATGTATACAATATGGGTTTAATTAAATATATATCAGAAGATTTTTAAATTTTCCCTAAACTTCTAAAATATGGACTTGGGTCAGTTACTTGGGTGGGTTGAGACTGTTGATACCAAAACTGACCATCTAAGGTTAGCCTTCATATGCCTCATCATTAAAGGAGAGACCTACCTCTTTACAACTGTCCACTAATTATTTGTGTGCTGTGACTTATGCATGCACATGCACATAAATCAACAAAAAATACATAATAATGGTAAAAAACAAAACTAGAATTTGTCTCTCATAATAACTCACGCATTATGATTTAGGTACCACTAATTTTGTTGAGCAACCAGAGCCCTCAGATACGTCATAATTAAAGTAGAGATCTAACTCTTTTCACCTGTCCACTAATTGCGCTTGTCCTATGACCTGTTCATGTACATGTACATTAATCCACACAAAAATACATGTACAGTAAAAACAAAAATAGAAATTGTCTTTGATAACAACTCAACACTTTATCCTTTGACATTAACTTTGTTCAGCAAGAAGAATTATTTTTCCTCATTTCTGAAATAATAAAGAGATAATTTGATACTGCAGTTGTTTTTCTATGATACTTTGTGCAATGACAACAGATAAGAAGAAGAAATAGATATATCAGGCACCCAGTACACAGTCTCACATGTCTGGTTTTTAAAAATAAAAAGGAGATGTTTAATAAAATTGCAAATTATGGTTCTTGAGTACAATTTGACTGTGTTCCTGTGACTTTCACACCTAGAAAAAACAGGTCTTCATTAACATATGGTGACTAACTGACATCCCTGTATTCAATATAAGAAAATGTCTACTGTTTGGTGTATTAGATGCCACAACTCCCTTCCTGTGAAAAATAATTTTAAGATTTGAATAGAATAAAAAGTAAAGGTGATACATAACTATAAACTCAGCATTTGGAAGTCAATACAGGTCATAAGGTTTAGGGATTCTGAATGAGTAAGATTACAAACCAGGGCAGACTGGAATTTTGAATAATGACCTGATCAAAAGTTAAATAATAATTAAAACTTTTAAGATTTTTGAAAAGTAATTGTGTTGATTCCTATATAGATTAGCATGCTGTAGAGGTGAGACTCCCAAAAGATAAGCAGAATGTGGCAGCCTGTCTTTCTTCTAATAGGCAGGACAAGACAAGTACTGACTCTGAAAAATGATAGTTCAAATCCTAAATAATTAATATGGACAGATGCAGTGGTGTAAAATGTAACCTTTGCATTTGAGAAGCAAAAGCAGTAGGATCAGGAGTTCAATGCTAGCTTTGGCAAGTGAGTTCAAACTGAGCTAGCATAATGAGAATATGTATCAAAGAAGAAGAACCAGGGGTGAAATTCTCAGGAGTCATCATACTATAAGCTAATAATTAGCAGGTGATCTTACTGAGATATTCTGCCTCGGATTATAATATATTCTGTTACAGATTCATTCTTATTAGACAAGGCCATAAGAGAATTGATTTTAGGAAAGATGACTGCTATTAATATGCTGTTCCTGTCATTATTAAACATATGTAACAATTGCTAAGTATTAGCTCACCCCTTTTGAACAGACCTCGGCAGATCTATGAAGATGTACGGTCTTGTAGTGATGCTAGACAGACAAACAGATGACTTCGTAAGTCTTAATGATGATCATATTAGAATTCCTAAAATTATATCAGTAATTATTAAGCTCTTTTAGAGTGAGACTGCTATTAGGTCCTTTTCTGTTAGTCAAAACTGCAAAGAGAACTCTGTCAGTTTCCCATGTGTCACCAGATAATTGGACTTAGTAACCAGACTTTCTTCAACACAGAGCACATTACAAGATGTTGTAAAACAATTAACCAAAGGTCATAAAAGTGGAACTAATGGTTATTATAGGAGCTAGTACTGAAGATAAAATATTGACTGGGTTTATATATACAAAACTTCACTAATAACTTAGTTATGACTTTAAAGTTACAGTGAACCTATGAAGCTGTGACAGGTCATGGATGTTTAGCCAGATAACTACTCCTAATGGATATGCATGTAAACATTCTCTGTTGTAAACATCTACTTCAATTTATGATTTGATTTTGTGTGTGAACTTTTGATGAACGTTTTAACACGTGATCATGTATTCTGAAAGATGTTTAAGTGCTGAGGACAAAGAGAACAATAAGAACTGAGGTAAGGAGAACTGAACTGACAGAGGAACTGAGCTGAGGAAACATTTTTAGACAAAACACCTTTTAGATAGAACTTAACTCAAGAAGAACATCGAAATATAGGTACAGTATTGAGAGAAAAGGCATTGAGAATAAGAGCATTATTTTAATATCAGAGCAAGAGGAGAGCTCAAGACTAGAAGAAGAATGCAGAGTGAAATAACTTAGAAACTATAGGTAACATAAAAAACAAAGAGAGCCATGTGCAGAATTCAGAGGGAAAGAGGAAAAAAGAAGAAGTTGCAGAGAGCAGAAGGAACAGGCAGGCTTTTCCTTACCATGGGACAGAACAGGTCCTTTCCTAATAATAAGGCAGGCTGAGTCTTATTAAAAAGAACGAAACCTTTTTCTTTCAAACTTGGGTGTAATTCCTTTAACATTAAAAGGGTAGAAGTTTTTTCTTTCTCTATGCAATAAAGTTGGAGCTAATTTTTCATCAAGAATGAGTGCGTTCTTTTTGCACAACTGCTTGGTCTTTTTCTCCATATGCATATGTTACTAAGGATGTGTTTCTTTACGTATGTAGTTGTGAGAATGTATGCATGTGTGTGTTTAAGTATATAATTGTGAGAATGTATGCAAGCTGGACCCAACTATTTTGCCTGAAAATGCATAAATACCCATGTATGAATGTATATATGCACTTATGTTTATGCATATTTACTTACATAACTGTTTTTCCTTCTGCAAGTGTTATTCTTTTCTCCTGGTTCAATAGAAGTTTATTGCTCCAAACTTACCCCAGCCCAACAAGCAAGAGGCATCTGGTGAAAAAAGAAAAGGCCCTAGAAATTAATCCTTTACTTAACCAATCTCCTGCTATTTGAGGATGAGGTGCTATGTGCTTAAGACTGCAGTTTCTGATCTCAGAGTAATGCATAAGGCAACAGTAGCATAGCAATTTAGACTTAGGTAAGTAAACATTTTGGTATTTTACAGCAACCCTAAATATCTCATAAAATAAAGAGTTACCACCAATATCTCATAAGACAAAGTCTTACCTTTGGCTTACCTTGTTCCTACTACACTGTCTCAAAAAGAACTGCCAAGAAATAAGATCCTGCCTGAGCTGGCCTCCAGCATAAAGTCTACAGAACTCAGATGTCAAAGGGAAAATCTTCAATAGAAGATCACTTTTATTGAGCCCTAAACAGACTATTTAGATTTCCCATAGGGGAGAAACAATGACAAATGGGCAAGTGACCCATGAATCTTAGAACAGGTAAAATACAGTGCAATGAGTATACAAATTAGATAGCCATGCCATATGATGAGTACAGTCAATAAAGCATTGTGATAAACACTGGCAAAGTAGGACAGGATCCTGTAGACACTAACTATTCACAGAGACACAGAAGAACATCGTCTGAATCATGACCTCTTAACTTTACATCACATAGTGATGCCCACCTACAGCTCTACCCAACAAATACAAGTTAGGCTCATAGCTGCCCATTAGGTTCATTAGAAGCTGAAATTGTAACATGGGTCCAAACTACTGCATTTTCCCGTATATGACTCTGTATGGTGCTCTAAACTATCAACAATTTTGGTATCTCTGTGTCCTGTCATTGTAGCAAGCAATGGGAACTCTATCCATTATAAGGTTTAAGCAGGAAGAAATATAGTGGCTTCTTTGAAATACTTCATGTAGAAACTTGTATACTTTTCTAATTTTATATGAAAAACATTTAATAACAATTTGTATGATATAAACATATCAATATACTTGATAAGTTAAAATCTTTCATTGACTACCCCTGTGACAGCTCTCTTGAGAGTATCTTTGGAGAGAATAGTAATTTACTGTTCTTTTGATTTGAAATGTAGGTATCCATTCTATCAGGGTCATATTTAGAAGAGAAGTGAGCCAGACATGCCATGTTCTAGGCACTGAATGGAAGAAAGATACTTGAGAAAGTTACCACTGTGGGTATTGTGCCTCAGATAGATTCTGCACCAGGAAAAAGAAACTCAGTGAATGCCACTAAGAAAATGGCATGATGAGCAAAATACAGCAGATACAGTACATTCAACCAGTAAGGTTTTAGACACTTGAATCAACAAATGACACATTTAAAATAACTATATTTGCTATCGCTTAAGAAAAACAAAATGACAAGGCAGGCACATATCCCTGTTGTCCCTGTTGTTGAGAGATGGAAACATGAGAATGAGAAGTTCAAGGCTAGCTTGGCTGACATGAATCCCTATCTCAAAACAACAACAACAAATAAAAGTTTAAAATATTTTTCAAAGATATAAAGGACAACTCAGAATATAACTATAAATACTAATTTAAGACAAACACAGAGGTATTTGGGAGAAAATCAGTATTTATTGTTTCTAAAACCACAAACCTGAGGAAGGAAAAATGTGTGATATGAAAAGCAGAGCATTAAGGGAACAAAAGGAGATGAGAAATGAAAGATAAGAGACAAGAGAAAAGAAAACATGGATTAACCAAAATAAAAGATCTATGAAAAAGCCTTTTGGAAATTCTAGTTAGTAAGGTCATAGCTGACAACACAAAACAGAGTCCATGTTCCTTTGATACATTGGATTTTTTGTATGTTTGCTGTATGTTTTCTCTATTTTTGCTTTGTTTTGTTGTTTACTCAATTGATTTTCACATTTTGTGTTATTTGGGTACATCAAGAGAGAGAAAGAACATGAAATTTGGTGGGTAGTAAAGTTGGGGAGGTTCTAGGAAGATCTGGGGTTGGAAAACATGATAACAATATGTTTTATGAAAAAATTATAACTAGAACATCAAAGTAGAGCTGGTTGTGGGGTTGGTGCCTGGCTTTTATCCTTGAACTCAGGGTTGGTGGCAGGCATATTTCTGAAATTGATATCAACACTCTGCAGAAAGTAAGTTCCAACACACTCAGGACTATACAGTATTCAAAATCTAAAAGTAATCTTGCGAAGGCGGGGATAGAGGCCTGACCTCCAGTAATTGAAGGGGACCTTGTAATGGCTCCAGACACACTGTCGTTGTCCAGTGAGGCATGAGGGCCAGACCAGTCCCGATGTCTTTTTCCTGGAGAGGAGATACTTTTGACATCAACCACTTTGCAGTCAGGCTTGTCCCTCAGGGAACCCAGAGAGATATTTTTAACTTTTATTTATATTCCCTTGCATTGATTAGCCTCACAGCCTAAGCAAGAATTCAGGTTGTCAGTCAGAGGGGATTCTGGGTGGCCCCTCTTTGCTTGGCCTAGGGGCAGAAGTCCTCTCTTTTAGGTTAGGTGGAGATGGGTTTTGGGAACACCCTGTATACAGTAAAAACCTCATCTTGAGTCTCGTGGTCCTCCATAGCTAACTTATGATAATGTATCTGAATAGGATTTGCTACCAAATTATTTATCTGTTATTTCACAGAGTTAGTCAGCCTATTTGAGGCCTAGGGACTAGCATAAATAAGCAAAAAGAACCCAAGTAATGGTCCCAAGATGGGAAGAAGTAGGGTTGACAACCTTGGAGAGGCTGAAAACTAATTCTTGTGAATTTCCCACAGCCCTTCTATACTTAGAGAAGGGAGGAGATGTTAGGGGGAGCCCTGATTACACACTGAAGTCCTAAAATCAGCCATAGGCCTAAAATCAGCAATAGGCCTGTCATACATGTTTACTAACACCAAGTCTTGGGTCTCTGTGGAAAAACATTGAAACAGATGGCTATAAGCTATTGTAAACAGGCAGCTTTTGTGGAAATTTACCAGCCCGAGTAGACCTTGTGAATAGGTAGCCTTGGCAGACAATACCAACTTAGATAAGGACAAGTGAGTCATAGGCAGAGTCATAGTGACCTGTCCCCTGAACCTTCACCCAGCTGATACTCGGTTCTGAAAGTTATCTGTATTCCCCCTGAACACTCACACTCCAGTGTCATTCTCTTCCCCACATCCTGCCTTTCTATGTTTATAACTGCTGTGTGAATGAATTACGATTTGAGAATAAATAAATAAATTATTAAAAAAAACAAAATCTAAAAGTAAAATATATAAAAATATAAAATCCAAATATGACTGTTAAGAAAAATTTTAAAAAAGAAACATGAGTTATTAAACGAAAATCAAAGTGCAAGGCAAGGTCCACAGAGGTCTCCAACATAGCACAGGCTATTGCCTCTAAAATTGCTTATTCTGCATAACTACATGGTAATACCCTATTACTGAAGACACAACACATTGTAACGCCAGGACATAGAGATTGAATCTCAAATCAATGAGGAATCATTTGTCCTTGTACTGGCTTTCAAATGGTCACTAGGTACAATGAAGTCTGCTAGAAGGAGAAAAGGTATTAAGGACTTTATTGCTGCCATGCCTAGCTACACACATACTAAGGAAGATATGCCCAGTGGTACCATTGCTAGAGGATAACTGATTTCTTACTGGATTTGAAACATTTACCACATGAGGGGTGATATGTTTAAATTCTAATCAAATCAACAGCCCATGACTGGAGAGATCATGGACTCTAAGGCAGAATCTTCTATAATCATTCTGTTACAGTGTCCGGCAAAAAAATTGCCCTATTAATAAATTATGCTTATTACCTAGACATAGTTAGGGTTTCATTACTAAGACTACTCCATGATCAAGTACCTCTTATGTAGGACCACATTTAATTGGGACTTCCTTACAGGTTCAGAGGTTTAGTCCCTTATCCAGGCAGGAGCAGGGAAGCATCCAGGCAGATGGGGCCCTAGAAAACTAGCCGAAAGTAATACATCTTGATCCATAGGAAGACAGGAGAACATTGACCTCCAAATGGCTAGGAAAAGGGACTCAAAGTCTTCCACGACAGAATCATATTTTCTTGTCCAGTTAATTGGTGTTCTACAGGCTCTTAGATGTTTACAGGTATCTCTTCTTTAGGTTGGGAAATTTTTTTGTAGGATTTTGTTGAAAATATTTTTCTGGGCTTTGGAGCTGGGACCCTTAACCTTCGGGTATTCTATTATTCTTAGGTTAATACTTTCCATGGTATTCCAGATTTTCTAGTTTTCTTTCAGGAAGTTTTAGAATTAACTTTTTCTTTAACTGATGTATCACTTTCATCTATTGTATTTTCTACACCTTATATTCCTTCCTCCATTTCCTGTACATTTTTGATGATGCCTGTATCTGTTTTTTCTTATTCTCATCCCTCAGTTTTCTATCTGCAGGATTCCCTAATTTATATTTTCATTATTGCTTCTATTTCTGTCTCTCGTTTTTATTGGATATTTTATTTATTTACATTTCAGATGCCACCCTTTTTAACCATTTCCCCACTCTAGAAAACCCCCATATCATCCCACTTCTCCTTTTTTCATTTATAGCATTTTAATTACATGCAAGTATTAAGGTCAGTTCTAGGTTGAGGAACTTTCAATACAATTGATGGAAATAGTCAAGGAACAAGCAAGCCAACAAACACAAATAGTCAAAGTACAAGCAAGGCCTTAAACAAAAATTCCATGATCACTGTTTCTAAGGGTTTATCAGGATGACCAAAATATCTGAGCCAAATTCCCTGACCTAGCTCAAACTCATTTTCATGTCTGAAGCCTACATTCTTGTTCTAGCTTAAAAGTTAGATTCCTGACTGAAATCACTTCCTTGTTCTAGACTAATGCCAGATTCCTGCCAAGCAGCCCATTTTCTTGTCCTTGGTTCATGTCAGGTTTTTGCCAAGCAGCTTCTATCTCTCTTTATTGCTTCTGTTCCATCTAGAAAAATATTTCTCTTGAGGCAGGCTTCTAATGGTTTTCCTTGGGTTGTATGGTTCTAGACCTAGATATCTGTAGAGTTCAGGATCTGCAGATCTCTTCAGCAGCCACAGAACTGACTAAGGTGGACAGAAAGATGGGTGGAGAATGGAGGTCTTCCTGGTATAGCAGGGTGTCTAGGGCAGCTCAGCTTGCTTCAGAGGACTGAGCAATCAGAGAACATGGGTATATGAATAGTGAAATTCTGGCTCTAGATTGTGCTTTTAATTAAAATGATTTAATCTACTCATAATGAAATATGCATGCTGTTTATTACGGTTCTTTATTTAGTTCTATGGAAGTTTAAGCAAACAGAAAAGATTTCCCCAGGCTTTGGGGCAAAGCCTGTCCATGCACCAGAGATGAACTGTCTTGTCTCCACCAGGAAAGAAGATGTCCTCTGCTCTGTCAAGTTAGATTCCAGAGAACATTCCCCAAATCTTCCAGATTGTCTCTCTGTTTGCACAGCAGACTAAGTCCTATGATCAAAACATTTGTTTGTATGGAGTCATGAATTATTACAGGAATCAAATGAGAACCAGAATATTTCATTTTTTACCTTTAATACTCATTGGAGCATCAATCAGGGAATTTATTCAATCGTTTCCCACAAATACAGCTGTATAAATTATCACAGTTAATATTCTCTAGTCTTGTTTTAGATAAGAACATGCATCGTCCATCATTTAGTTTGAACTTCTTTATGTTCAAGTCACTGACAAACAAAAACAACAATGGGAAATCGATGATTTTTAACATTCCCTGAAATAAGATGATTTAAAAAATTCTGTTCACCAAAGTAAACAAAATATGTAAACATTAATCATACAGTCATCAATAAATACATTCTTTACTCTAGGCCTATTAAAAATTAATGAAATCATTGTCACAACAAAATCCTCATCTTTTTTCATACTAGAAAATTGTGGACAGCAGGGAAAATGGATTTTCAAAATTTTCAAGGAATTATTTTATGCAGAACATGCTCTCCCACTTATATCTTGTCGATAAAAATTCTGGATAAAAGTAAAAACAGATGTGTCTGACTCAAGACACAGTCTCATATGCCTGTGTTTCATGGAGAAATGGAAGATTTGAAATACAATCATAGATGAAGGCACATAACTAATGTTTTGGATTGTTCTCTCCTTTTTCCTACACCACATCCTAGCTAATGGGCCTTCACAGAAATATGATAATCTACAGGATTGTGTATTACAGGCTATAAATACTCTTCTTTAGAAAAGAAATTTAAGTGAGACAAAATAAAATAAATAATCAAATTAGAACACAAAACAAATTAGCAGATAGATTGAAACAGAAGGATTGTGAGTTCTTGGCCAGCCTGGGCTATGTAACAAAAACAGAAATCAAAATAATTAAGATCTTCTTAATTATAGTATAAACCAGCACAAATCAGACTTCTACTCAGGCTAAGATATTAGCAAGGGTTGGATCAAACCTCAGGTTTTCAGAGAAACACTGCACCCAGTTTTATCTCCAATAGGGGAATATGACTAAAGAATGCATTCATAATAAAGATCCTCAATATTAAACCGATACAGGCCTAATGGGATACAATAGTAGTACAAGGATTTGGGAAGTGAAGGTCTGAGGATTCAAAGTTCAAGGCTAAAAATACACAGGGAATTTGAGGCTAGTCTCAGATAATGAGACTCTGTCAAAGAAAGAAAGTGATTGAAATCCACCATAACTATATGGGACTGAGACTTCAAAGGAATCAGTCTTTATCAAAATATGTCACTGTCTTTGATCTTAGGGTTTAAGATGAGAAGAAATGGAATATTCATATTTAACATATTTAGGAATGTAAAGGAAACAAGGAAGATAAATTAAACCAAGAGGTTTTTTTTTTTAATATGGAACAGTTAGGAATGGATATGCATATTAGTCAGCCAAAAGACATTCTCATAGTTACAGTAAAAACATCATGTGTACATTTTAAAGGTGGCCAAAAGGTAGAAAGAACCCAGCAGACAGTTGTTAACAAAAGATAATTACTAAAATAAAAATAAAATGCACATGAATTGATGCAGCAACTTTTATAATTATCAAAAATTCATACTGTCAAAATTTAAAAACATATATGGTCATATGTGAATGAAGAAATATTTTGAAATATTTGTCCAATGCAAAAGTGCTTTGTAAGAAGAGTGAAACAAGAAAATTGATTTGATTGAGGAAGGATGTTTTGTGTCTTATTGGGTTTTTACAGTTTTCTTGCTTGATTTTCTCAGGTAAGAAAAAAATCTCGAGTTACTTAAAAAATCATAGTGACAACAATAATTGAGAAGGATGCAGGAAAATACAGAACCAATGACAAATCTGTACATAGTACATGACAGTCTGCACTAGGCCATACTCATTTACAGTACAAGAGAATTCATGTCTGTTCATGGCCAGGTGTGGAACAAGGTACATAAAAGAACTTTAAAGGGTAACAAAGGTGCTGTTTAAGTTTAACGGTTTCTATTGCTATGATAAATCATAGTCAATGTACCTTGGATTTATTTTGCTTAAACTTCCACATCACCATCAATACGTGAAGGAAGACAGGACAGGAGCCAATCTGGACAGGAGCTAGAAAGCACAATCTGACACAGATGTCAAGAAGGAGGGCAGCTTACTGTCTTCCTCCCAAAAAATTGCTCAACCTACATTTTTACCATATTCAACACCATCCCAGGGGTGATACTGACAATAAGCTGGGCTTTCTCACATCAGTCACTAATTAAGTAAATGCTCCATAGGTGTCCTTACAGTCATATTTTATTAAGGTACTTTCCCAAATTAAGATTCTATCCTCCCAGATAACTGTAGCTTCTGTCAGTTGACATAAAACTAGTTTGTACAATGATGTTTGAAATGGTGTATTTTTTTGTTAAGAGACATTTATCTCACAACGTAGAGTAGGTACATATTTTTATAAACAGAAAACTTGGTTTTTAAAAATGTAACTGCCAAACAAATAAATAAACAGTGAGTCAAATTATTTCAGAATTAAAGGACAAGACAAGTGAATGTACTGCATGATTCTGAACATTATCCAGAAAACTGAAAATTATGAATATGTGTTATGGATTAAAACATATTACCAGATGCATACTTAGATTTTTGAGCTTTATCATTTTAATGTGATGATATAAAGGAAATTGTTCAACCATAGAAAATATTTATGGACAACATAGTATGTCACATTAGCATTATCATTATTATGCTTCATGAGACAGAGTCTCAATCTGTAGCACAGAATAGCTTCAACCATATGATTAAGCTATCACAAGAACAGGCTGGATGAGTAGTGGAGAATAAGAGACAGGAGCAAATAAAGGATGGGTTATCCAAAACTAAAAATGTATAAATAGCCTTATAGAAACCCACTAGTTAGTAAATTTATAGTTGACCAACACAAAACACACTCCATATTTTCTTTGTGGTTTGGAGTCTTTTCGTATGTGTGGTTTTGCTTGTGTGTTTGTTTGCTTGTCTGATTGAGAAAAGATGTTTTGTGTCTTTTTGGGTTTTTATAGTTTTCTTGCTTGATTGATTTATTTTCCCATTTTGGTTGTCATTGTTTTGTGGAGAAAGAAATGACATGGCATTAGTATGTAGGAAAGTATGAAACAACAAGTATTCATATGGGAGGGAACTTGATCAAAATATATTTTTGAAAATCCATTAATTAAAACATAAAAATTTAAATTTAGAAAGGAGTTATAATTACAGAAGATATGAGTTTTTAACAGAAAACCAAACTGCAAGGCAAGGGATAAACTGATAAGGGAGATGACAGAGTTCTCTCACATTGCACAAGATAGTGCTCCTGCCCTTGCTTTAACTACATGGTAAGGATCTATTGCTGAAGATGCTCGATACTTTGACACCAACACATAGAGACAACACAATCTCAGCCAACATGAAAATATCTTCCCCTGGGTTGTTTTTCAAAGACTTAGTAGGTGTTTTGCAGGTTAAAGGGTAGAAAAGTCCTATCTTGCACTGGAGCCTGCAGGCTACAATGCTGACCTGCTGGGTGGGATATGTTATAGGATAAATAAATGTTTTTTTTATTGGAAGTGGGGTGTTTAGCACAGGAGACAATCATGTTTGGTGTTGTATTCCAATTCAAAAGCTCAAGATTGGTAAAGTCACAGGCTCTATGTTGGAACTTGCTACAATTGCTCTGCTATGTAGTCAGTGGTTAAAATGCATTCTTAACATTCAGAGTTATAGCCTAGGCCGATGGTGCTCTCAACCTTCATCAGAACCTTCTTTATTCAGTGAGCCATAGTCCTTGCAGAGAGGTAGAACTGGTCAAAGAGCTTACAAGAAGTGTTTATGTGCTGAGACCTTAAAGAGAATCCACATTAACCTCTTCCCCTTCATTCCACGAGCAAGACTCATGGAATAGCAGGGAAGAAAGAGAACATAGAAAGAATGTAAGAACCAGAGAAGGGGAAAAGCTCTGTGAAGTATAGCCTTTTAGAACAGATGAAATTTCTGAAACAATTATTTCTTATTAAGAAATCACTATGTTAGGTAAAAGCTGCTAGAAAATGGAGATTCAATTCTATATTGAGGGTGTGGCCACTGCTGGGTTTTCTTGTTCCAGTTGTTGGTGTAAAACTATACACACACGAAGAGTTAGTTACAAAGACATGAATTAGTGGGGCACATGTTATATATTTAGTGGGGCTACAGGATAGTAATCAAGAAAAGTATGTATTATTAATAAATATAATCATTGAACAGTTTTCCATCAGACTATGAATAAACAAAAAGTTGAGATTTATACAACAAAACACCTTCAAATGGGTGGTAGGCTTTCATATATATGTGTATATAAACATGCCCTTATATTTATAAATAACCAATGATTTTATAAGCTAAAAATAGTAAAAATGTCACGAGTGTCTGAGAGACTCACACTCATTGTATCTGTCATGATAATTCAGTCACTTCACACCATCACAAGTTGTTGAATTCCTAGTGCCCTTCACATCTTAGAGGACACAATCCTGAGATGTATGCAGTATAAAACCACTTTTGGTCAGTACCTCAACCAGATATCTTCCTTCTGTAACACTTGCTCAGACACTGCCTTATTCACTTGTCCTTACCCATGATCTCCATAGAAAATGAGGAAAGCCATGTGAACTAAGAGAAAAACCTTTGCACACAATCATCCCAATTCACACACCAGTGTTAGAGTAGGAAGGGTTCAAAAACTCACAGTTTAGATGGGCCTTTGTCAATCCATGCCCATTCCGCTTTCTCATTATCATATAACAATCCAATCCAGTAACTGTCAGGAGTAACCTGGGGCTGAAGGAACTTCTGTAAAGGAAACAACACACCTTATAATGAAATTTTTGTCTGTTTGATGAGAAAACAATCAAGAATAGTTCCCAGCATTCCTGTGTTGTTCTCTGCTGTCCTGTCCTCCCACCAGTCAATCCCACTATGTTCATTTTCTAAAGGACTTCTTATTAGTAGAACATTTAAATCAAAACTATGTCAGTTCAATAAGTTATCTAAAATAAAAACTTCAGGTGTCCTGATATGTTTGGAATCATGATATGACGTGTGACTGTGGGTCTTACACCAAGTCTCACTTTGTAACCAAGGCTGTCTTTGAACTCACAATCTTCCTACTGACATCAGGAATTTTTTAGAGTTTGAATTTTCTGTGACTAATGTACCAATTTCTTCTATTAAATCTTCTATGCCTGAGCTAAATAGAAAATTCTCAATATAGGAATCTTGAAAGGCCAAGAAGCACATAAATGAATGTTCAATGTCTTTAGCCATCAGGGAAATGCAAACCAGAACAACTCTGAGATCACACCTTACACCAATAGAAATGGCTAAGATTAAAAATTCAAGTGATACCACGTGCTGGCAAGGATGTGGAGCAAGAGGAACATTCCTCCATTGGTAGTGGGAGTTGAAAATTGTTCAAGAACTTTGGAAATGAATTTGGAGATTTCTAAGAATACTAGCAATAGCTCTACCTAAAGAATCAGCTATGCCATTTCTGGGAATATACCAAAATATGCTCTACCATCCCACAAAGAAGTGTGGTACATCTACACAATGGAATACTATACAGCTGTCAAAAAACAACGATATCATGAATTTTGGAGACAAATTGATAGAACTTGAGAATATTATCCTGAGTGAGGTATACAAGACCCAAAAGAACATTCATGGTATGTATTCACTTATAAGTGGACATTAGTCATAAAATACAAGATGCTCATGCTACACTCCACAGACTTATGGAGGAGGCTGGACAGGAAGAAGGACACAAGCATGGATGCTTGCATTCCACTTGGAAGGGAGAATGGAATGGTCATGGAAGGCATAAGAGGAGAGGAAACTCAGTGGGAAAGGAGATCAGGAGTGGAGTGGAGTTTTAGATTCAGGTATAGTGGGGAAATGGTTTGATGGCCATGAAAATAAATAGAAATCTGCAACTGATGGGGAGGTTGATAGGAGACATCTGCTGGAAGATGTGGAGGCTAGTGATAGAGGAGGCACACAGCAATCAATAGGAATGCTCTTGGCTGTGTCACTATGTAGCCTGGGGAGACTGACTCCTGTGGCAAAGAAAGAACCCCAGGGGAGCAATAGCAACATCAACAAACCCACAAAACTTTTGACCCCAAACTCATCTTGTCTGTAAGAAATTCAGGGATTGGTACTGGAGCAAAGACTGAGGGAACAGCCAACCAATAACAAGTTCAAATTGAAACTCATCCCATGGAAAAGCATCAATCCCTATCCCTATTTGTTGGGAGCCGCCACGAGAGCTGACAAAGTCCGCCATCGCTAGGTGGCGCTGTCGCCCGTAATTCTTCCTAGTACCAAGTAAACTGCGCATGTGCCATGGTAAGCCCGCCAAAACTAAGCCCATCCCACGGCGTTTGGCGCGCTACGAGTAAGCAGCCAATCAGGGGGTGAATACCCCGCTCTGGGGTATATAGGCAGTGCTTTCCCACGCCTTCTTCGTCTTCTTCCACCATCTTGGTTTTGGGGAAATAAACGTGTTCATACGGAAGGATTCTGGCGTGTGTGTGATGTGTGTGTGTGCGCGCGTGTGTGTATGTTTTTTGCCGGCGAGACCACTTCACGCGCGCCCCGCACA